CGTTTTTGATCGTCGCTCAATTGGAGTTCCACCTGCTTCCCGGAAGCAGGTGGAACTGCTGCTGGACCCTGGACTCCTTCCCCAAAGGTTCCTCAAAGCCCTTGCCGTATTCCTCGATGGCGACGGCGAGCTCCCTCCTTCGAGGGGGGGAAGGTTCGAGGTTTGAGGTCCAAGGTTTTTCTGACGTTTTCGTCGGTTCTCTGCGGTTTTCCGGCCTCGAGATGCGTTCCAGCGGCTGCGCCTCGCTGAGGGCGTTCTGGGACCGCCTGGATCATCCCGAAAGGCCGCGGGAGACCCGAGTGATGACCCGAAAACTGAACTCGGCGGCGCGCCCGAGCCCTGAGATCCTGGCGCTACAGTTTTTCCACAACCGGCGTTCTCGTCCCGCTTCGGGCCCCGGGACCCTCGCAGCTCGCCGCGGGGGTTACTAAGGGGACAGGGCCGTTAGGACTGGATGCTAACCCTGGCATTCTGCCGTTGCGTCTGTCTTCGCAGGGGACGTGCTCGCCCGGTGTCGAGTCCCGGGGCCCTCACAGATCGATGCGGCTCGAAACATGACGCAGAAAGATGGACTCCCGGGCTCCAGTCTCCAGTCGTGATTTGTTTGCGACGTGGCAGGCGGGGGGGGGGGAAGTGAGAAGGAGAAGGCCTTCTTTCTCAGAAGGCGGCGGGACTTCTCAGAAGCCCTCGCGCGTTCTGGGAAGCTTTTTGTGACCTCGGGGAACGCTCCCAACACCTCTCAGAAGGCCAGGGGGCTTCCGAGCCTTCTGAGAAGGCCTGCCCGCCCCTCATAAGGCCGCCCCTTCTCGCCCCCCCGGGGCTCGCCGCCGAAGTTCTGCGATTCGGGATCTCAGGGGGGCACACGTTCCGAGGCTCCTCACCAGGCGCGGCGCCGGGCGGCTCGCGGCGGCGGCGGCGGCGGCCGCGCTGCTCCTCGGGCGAGCGGCCGCTGCCAGCGCCTGGCTCGCGGCGGCGGCGCCATGCAGGCCAGGGCTCGCGTCGACTCCTCCGACTCGATTCGATCTCGTTGGCTTCCGATTCCGGGTCGAGTCGACTTGGGATTCCGATCTGTCAGGAAGACAACTATCGGATTGGGAGGATGGGGTTGGGAGAAATGGGATTGTCCTTGCCCTTAGGCGGCCGACGGTTTCGTTCATTGCATCCGGATGCTATTGCTCATGCCCAACACGATAATTGTTATCCTCACTGGGCTCCGATCTCTGCATGCGGAGGCCTTCTGGCCTGCCAACATATTTCCGTCGATTCGACGTCTCTCCCAGCTAGGCTGCCGACTTCAGCCGCTCCGATTCGCGTCGATCGCCGATCCAGGGAACGAGGTGCCAGGGCTCGACCCAAACAGTGTTTTAGCGATCTCGGGGCCGTTTCCGCTTTGATTTCGCTTTGCAGCAAAGGCAAAGGCGGACAACGAACACAAAACGAAAACGGAAAACATTGTTTCGGTCGATCCCTGTGAGGTGCAGTAGCTGACTCAAGACGTGGACGATGTTTGCTGCTAATTACGCGGGGCCCACCGCTCTGCTATGATGGGATGTCGCCTCGGTGCCTAAGCGCTCTCCGCGCTGCAAGACTTAGAGCCGAAGATGCAATGCCGCTCCGATTCGTTTCGATCTTCGATCCCAGTCCCCCGAGGTCGTTGCCCCCCCCATTCATCGCCCCCCCAGATGGGGGGGCGATGAGTGGGAGGGCAACGAGGACTGCAGCAAAGGCGCCGTCGAGGGCCCCTAGGAGGGGCCCTCTAGGGCCCCAAAGGGGGCCTTGAGGGTCTGAGAACTGCACCTTTCTCCCCCACCCATCTGCCCCCCCCGCCCATGAAGCGACGCCCAAGGAGAAGGTGTAGCGAGGTTCGGGACCTGCGCGCTGAGAGGCTTCCCGATGTGCTCCGTCCCGACGCTCCCAGACCCCCGACGCTGTGATTTCTTGCACAACGTCGACCCCCAGAGGTCAGGACCCTTTCCCTGGGACCGGTTTTTCGTCCTGAGTGGGGTTCTGACAGCCCTGAGGCTCGATAAGGGCCCCTGGACCTGGAGATCAGACGTGGCGAAAAAGTTGCAACATCGCATACATTCACGACTGGAGCCCTGGGCCCCGTCTGTCTGCATGATTTTTCGAGCCGGATCGATCTGTGAAGGTCCTGGGGCCCGAAACGGGGCAAACACGCCCGTGGTGAACAAAAATTGCAGCGCCAGGATCCCGGGGGAGGCCAACGATAGCGAAACACCTCCCGTCGTGATTGAGGAGGAGGAGGAGGTGGAGGAGGAGGAGGAGGGGGAGGAGGAGAAGGAGGAGGCGGAGGAGGAGGAGGATGAGGAGGAGGAGCAGGAGGGTCTGGGATCCGATCTTCCGCTTCGTCCCTTGGGGCTCCTCCGGGGCAGGCTGGCACAGGGCGGGCGGGCGCGGCGGCCAGACCGCCCGAGCTGCGCCGGCGGGCGGGCGCGGGCCTTGGCCAGGCGCTCGTCCAGTGGGGCAACGACAACGATCGTTAAGTCGGGCATCAACCACGCGCAGAGGGGGGAGAGGGGAGGGGGGAGGGCTTCTTCGAAGCACCCCTGCCTCTTAGAAGGCGCGGGCCTCATCTGTAGATACAGGGCCGCCGCCTTCCAAGAAGCAGCCTCCTTCTTAAAAGCCTTCACCCCTCTCTCCACTCCCTTGTGCGCGCCGCCAACGGCATGTCCCTCTACAGGAGGAACATTCAAAAGTATTCAAAACATAGTCAGGGGACTCGATTATTTCTTCGGCTATCTTTGAATATGTTTGGGTTATTTTTCAGTTGTCCTCTAAAAGCTGCCTGTCGGGGGACATGTCCGACCTAAAACGATCGGTTAGATGCTCGTGCTGGGGGACCTTCCTGGGGCCCACATAACGGATCTGTTCGACTCTAGTTAGACTCAAGTTCGACTCAGGTTCGACCCAGGTTAGACTCAGGTTCGACTCAGGCTCGGCTCAGGATCGGCTCAAGGTCGGCTCAAGTCGACGGACGTTCGTCCGACGCAGCTTCGACGCACGAGTGGAGCGAGCGCCTCCAGGAAGGTCCCCCAGAATGAGCGTCCAAGATCCGGGTTCGAAGTGCGAGGCTCGGAGCTCGAGGTCCACGACCCCCCTCGCGTCGTGACAGAACTCGCGACGGAAGGTGTTGCACTACCTTCGGCCTCGGGTGGCCCCTCACCAGGCCTCGGGGCTGGCAAAAAAGCGACTCCGGATGAACAACCAGACCCACGGGGGCCTAGACCCCCGACGTCATGATCTTTCCATAACGTTGACCCCCCTGAGGTCTCGACCCATTCGCCGGGACCCGTTTCTCCTCCTGAGTCCTTGTTTGACGCTCCCGAGGCCCGGCGAGGGCCCCCAGAGGCCGAACATGGCCACCCCCCAACAAAAAACTCCCGTTATATTTTTTTATTGTTCCATTGGCTATTGGGGCCCTATTCGGATTCGCTATTGGCTATTGGGGCCCTGGCCAGGCGCTCACTATCGAGGAAGAAGGCATAAACAGCGCGGATTTCTCGGATTGGCGCTCTGGCCCCTCTGGCGCCGCCTCTGGCGCAGCACCTGGCGCGCGGAGCGCGCAGGGAGCGGCGACCAGCGCAGATCCTAGAAATCCGCGCGGAGCTCCGAAAGTTCGTGCTTATGCTGTGTTTCGTTCCTCTACCTAACATGCAATGTGGCACGATCGAAATGGGTACGGAAATGATAAGATGCCCAGCAGCAGTTCCTTCCCATGTTGAGCATGGCTCGCTGTCGGTGTCGCCACGGGCGTGGTCCTCTTGAGGCAGAACGTCGCCTGCCAAACAACGGTCGCTGCAGAGGTTCAACAAACTTTGATTTCGAGCATCGGACCTATTTTTCCCGTACTCCTTTCGGATGTGCGAGAATACGTGGGAGCCCTGTATGCCCTCGTACTTCTGTTTCTGGAGCGCACGAGCGTCGATTGGCGCCTGCTAGTCGATGAGGTAGCACCGATTTGGCGTCGAGTACCGTTGACTAGCGTCGACGTCGTGGATTTAGGGTCGATGAGCGTCGACTAGCGTCGATTCGCAAGAGCCAACACGATGGTACATCGGTTGCGGCAGAATGCTCATAACACAAAATGTCGCCCCCCTCTTGCTGTTTGGGTCTCCTCGTCGTCGCGCGAACGGGTGGGCCTGGCCACCATTTTGCACTGCTCGGGACTGGGGACCCGTCCACCGTCTCCAGGCTTGCTTGGCGGAGTCATCGCCCCAGCAGTTGGGAAGCTGCCGGCTTTCATCATCGGGTGCTTTCTCTGGAAACGAACACGAGCTAGCGCCCCCCCACCCCCGGCCACAACATGGGGTGAGGCAGTCTTGCCCGACTGGGTGCCGCGACTGTGGAGGTTTGCTTTTGGGGAACGGCCCTCGCTCGAGCGCCAGCCTCCTATGCCACCGACATCTCACCCCCACCCGTCGGTCGTTGAAGGTAGGCACTTTTTGATTATCAGATTCCAGTCTACTTTAAGCGCCTTCCTACCTCAATGATCGAGTGGCTTCATCGTTTCCGTCCTCCTCAGGGGGCGGACGGACACTGAATCTACTTCCAACGCCTTTCTACTTCATGTTTCCGCCTACTTCTTCCGACCGATGGGTGCCCTGGTCCCGGCACCCCGCATGCCAGGGATGCCGGCAGGGGCCGTCGTCGGGGGCAGGCTCTGGGGGGAGGTGCCTCGACCCCCACATCGCCAAGTCATCGCCGATAGGGGCCGGATAGCCCCACCTGTCCCAAACCACGCAGATTTGCCATCGGGGGCCTGTCGCCGATCCATCGGCGTTGTAACCGCCGGTTCCAGGTCGATGCCCCCTCCCTGAGCCAGTCCCCCCCGTCCTCTGACCTTCCAGAGTGCTAACAAATAGCCCTCCAGACCTATAGACCTATCTGGGCTGCTTAAAATGTCGTATGCATTTGGGTGTCGAGGTCCTGGTGCTATTTTTGTTGCCCTCCTGGAAGGTCAGGGTCGTAACCCCTCACAGGCGCGCCGAGCAGACGGACACGTACGACTGGGTGGCCGACGAGCTCGAGGAGCGAAGAGAACAACACCTTGCATTTACGAGATTGTCTTCTTATCCTCTGGCGCGCAGCGGTCGTCATCCCCCCCCCTTCTCCCAGGGTCGTAACGGTCGTGAGGGTGACGATCGTACGCAGAAGGGGGTCTGGACCCCATCTCACATACTGGTGCTCGCGCTCGTACAGTCAACCCGCACGGTAAGGATGAGTGGCCCTCACAGATCGATCCAGCTCGACAAATGACGCAGAAAGACGGGGTCCAGGACTCTGGTCATGCATTTGTAGTGATGTTGTTTTTGGTTGCAACGTCGGATCTCAGGGTCTGCCGCACCTCCCCTTCCCGCCCCCAGTCCCCGTCCCCTTCCCCCCCTTGCAGTCGACCCGAATAGTCATGAAGCGTGAGCGACTTTCCAAGGTTACCCTCGCATCCTTCCCCTTCGGCTCATGCTTGGCCGCTTTCCCTCGCCGCGCCCCGCTCGCAAAGCGTCCATGTGGCTTTCCAAGGCCCTTTGCTTCCTTGCTGTGCGTCCTCACTCTACGGTTCGACTGCTACGGCGATCGCAGCGCGCCCCGCGCCGACATGCCCCGCCCCGCCCAAGATCTTCCCTTACCGAGGGGCCCCAGCCCCCTCCTCCCCGACCGCTGCTGGAGGCACAACACATGCGGTCGGGAACTCTTGATCCGCGCTTGTCGCTCCGCCGGTTCTGGCCCACCGCGCTCGGGATCGGAGGTGACGATAGGGGCGAATAAACCAGGGGCTGGCGTCATACGTCCCCGCCCGGGCGCGTCGCCGAAGGTATGGGCCATCGGCGCACTCATATACACGTATTGCTCTCCCCCAGGATATTCGCCTCCACCGTCCCGATAGGAACGACACGCCCCTGAGATCCGACGGCGCGGAAACGTTGAGACATCGCGAAAGTCACCTCCGGATCCCTCGACTCCATCTTCCTGCGTCAGTTTTCTCGAGCCCGATCGATCTGTCAGGGTCCCCGGCCCGGGCCCGCTACCCGACGAAGGCGCCCGGCTCGAAAAAATTGAGGCGCCAGGATCTCAGGGGCTATCCACCACCCGCGGGGGCAACGATAGGGGGGCATAGGCATAGGGGGGGATGCATCGACACCCAACCGCCCATTGATCGCCGATAGAGGCCCGATAGACCCAACCTGGCCAGGAAGGTGCGGATGTACTATCGGAGGCCTAGCGCCGATCTATCGGCGACGCATCGCCGATCCCAGGTCGATGCATTCTCCCCCTGTGCCAGTCCCCCCCCCCTATCGTTATGATGTTCCAACCTACTTCAGCCTTGATCGCAAGAAATAATTTCGAGCGCACCCCAAGTCTCGAGGGTCTTCACGTGTCGGGCCCTAGGAGACACTGTTTCGACACTGTTTCGACACTTTTGCGGGTGCTCGAAATTATTTCTGGGATGTGGTTCTTCAGTACGATGGGAGCAACATAACCCTATCGTTGCCCTCCACCACCCGGTCCCCCCTCGCGTCACCCGTCCGAGCATCTCCGAGCCGCCCGCTGCGCGGAGCGCGGGGCGGCACGCTGACTCTCCGCGCGCACGGCGCACGAGCGTCGCCGTTGGCCGCCGCTGCACGCTATCATAACTACCGAGCGCGTTCCGCTACTCGCAACGTGCCTATTCGCAAACGTCCGGACAACCCACACATCTGCCTTGGCGAAATGTACCGTGAGTCGCCTACGGCGGATCCAGGCAACTTGCGAGTAGCTGCTTTGCGAGTAGTGGAACGCGCCCGTCCACATGAGCAATCGTTCCCTGTCGTACTATGGCTTCTCGGAGGCCCGCGTGGACGTCTTGGGCTGGCGTTGAGTCGGGCGTGTGCCTCTACAGGAGGAATGTTCAAACATTTGTTTTTAAATGTTTAGAATGAAATGAAAGCAACATAGTTTGTTAGACCATTTTTTGAGTCGAAAAGTGGTGAGGGACAATGTTTCCCTTCTATGCTTGATTCTTTTGGAGGTATTTTCATCTGTCCTTCAAGATTTGCCAGTGGGGGGACATGCCCGACCTAAGGCTGGCGTTGGGCCCCCCCCTGGCCCGGCCCCGCGGCGCGCTCCGAGAAGCCCGCGCGGGACCGGGCGCCTGGCGCGCTCCGAGAAGCCCCAAGGCTGGCTCGGTCCAGCGCGCCGATCCGAGAAGCCCGCGCGGGACCTCCGAGGATCGGGCAGTGGGAAGGAGGCGGGACGGCCCCTTCAGATGGCGGCGGGACTTCTCAGCGCCACCCCGCGCCTTCTGAGAAGTGCTCTGTGTCTTCGGGGAGCGCTTCGGACCATCCTTACCAGAAGGCCCGCCCCCGTCTCGCTTTCCCACCTCGGCTGGCCGCCGAGAAAAGTGGTGTGCCGTGCAGCTTTTTGTTGCTCTTCTGGAGGATCTGCTGGGGACGATGCGGGACTCGAAGGCCCCCGTGCTGGCGGAGGACGGCGAGCTCCAGCCGAGCGGGCTCCAGCCGGAGCCGCCGCTGCCAGGCTCAGCGTGGGGGAAGCAGAGTCCCGGACCCTGGGGCCTTCCCCGCGGGGCACTTCTTCATCCTGGGTCGTTTTCTGACAGTCCCAGGGCCCGTACTTGGATCGCCGCGGGGGTTGCTAAGAGGGTCGGGGGATACAAGAGGATGCTAAGGTGGCTGTCCAGCCTAACCAAGCTTAGAAGAGGGTTGCACGTGCCTTAAGTGGCTCAAGGGCGTACAGATCTGGGCTAAGTGGGCGGAGCCCACTCAGCGGAGTTGCCTCCTCATCCTAAGCCACATACAGGGCACGTGCAACCAACTTGTAAGGTGGCTTAGGCCAGATAAAACCCACTTCGGCTTTCACTTCTGACCCCCCCTATCCCCTTAGCAACCACCGCGGCGATCCAAGTAGAGGCCCCCCCAGAGCTCGAACACGGCGAAAAGACAGGCGAAAGGCGACATGTGAAGGACACTCACAGAACTCCGCACAAGGCGCACGATGTCCCCGCACAAGTCGTCCGCACAAGACTCGCGCGAGAGGTTACTCTCCCTGTTCGAAATGATACGGAAGGAACGCCCCCAAGGTGAACATCTTTGGGATCTCCTTCCTCCATGGCGGGCCCCGAGGTCCCGAGCAGATCGAGCCGCCGGGCGAAAAACTCAGGCCCCGTTTGCGGCGGCAACCGTGTTGCCAGAGTGTCCCGCTGCAGGGGTCGTTCGGCCGTTCGCCCCAGGGAGCCCAGCCGCGCAAAGGAACGCGCTCTGGCACGCAAGCGACGATGATTTAGTTCGGCCCTTGCCGCGCACCGAGGGCACTTCCCAAGTGCCTGCGGCGCGCGCGCTGCCCGAAGTCGTTTTTTTCTTCGCGACGTCGACCCTCAGAGGTGTGGGCCCCTTCCCCCTGCGGCTGCGGCTCGCGTCGCGCCCGGGGGCGACGGACTAGATAGTTGCACGTTCCCCCCTCCCCCTCCCTCCCCCTCCCCCTCCTTCTCCTCCCCCCTTTGCCACGGGGCGCTCCGAGGATGGTGCAACAACAAAGTGGACCCCTTCCCCCGGGCCCGGGTTTGCCTACCCCGCGAGCTCTTTTTGGACAGCTCCCCGGGGGGCCCGACGAGGGCCCCGGAGGCCGATCCTACATGTGCGGACATGCTCCCCGTCGCGAGGGTTATGTTGCTGCTCTCCCCCATCCCGCTTGGATCGCCGCGGTGGCTGCTAAGGTTAAGTCGGGCCTGTCCCTCTACAGGAGGAAGATTCAACACTAGTCAAACATAGTCTGGGACCGTTTTTCTTTTTTTCTAGTATTGATTACTCTGTTCGAATATGTTTGGTGTATTTTTGTTTTTGATGTTTCGTCCAAAGTCCCTCTGTATGGGGGACATGCCCGACCTACTGCTCAGGGGATGGGGGGGTATAACTGGAAGCTAGAGTGAGTTTTATCTGGCCGACGCCACCTTATGAGTGGGTTACACGTGCCCTACATGTGGCTTATAGGATGATGAGGTAACTCCGTTAAGTGGGCTCCGCCCACTTAGCCCTGATCTGTACGCCCTCAAGCCACTTAGGGCACGTGCAACCCTCTGCTAAGCTGGGTTAGGCATGATAGAACCCACCTTCGTATCCTCTTATATCCCCCTTATCCTCTTAGCAACACCCGCGGCGATCCAAGCAGAAATCCAGCTGCTCAATTTTTTGGGGTGCGTGGACCCCGGAGGTCCGGACCGCGTCTCCAGGGCCGGTTTTTCGTCCCGTGAGTCGTTTTTTTGACGCTCCGCGAGGCCCTGCGAGGGCCCCCGGAGGCTGAAATCTGCCATGGTCCAGCCGCTCCAATCGAGAGATCCGACGGCGCGGAAAAACTAAGACATCGCTAAAAGTCGCCTACAGAGCCCTCGACTCCATCTTTCTGCGTCACTTTTCTCGAGCCGGATCGATATGTGAGGGTCCCCGGGCCGGCTGCTCGACGAAAACGCCCGGCTTAAAACATTAAGGCGCCAGGATAATCTCAGCGATTTTTTTGGAGAGTCGGCTCTCCAGGATGGCCACAGGCGGAGCCCTGTTCGAATTTTTCAGGACCGACCCTTTCCATGGGGAACCGGTTTTTCATCCCGAGTCATTTTCTCACGTTCCCGAGGCCCGGCGAGGGCCCCCCGAGGCCGAAAACGGCCAAACACCTCCTGTCTGGATTTTTTGGCGACGCGATCATGTTTGTTTTTTCTTGGAGCGCCGGCTCTCGGGGATGGCCACACTTGGACTGCCGCGGTGGTTGCTAAGGGGAGGATGGAGGAGTTAGAAGTGGATGCTAAGGTGGGTTTTGTCTGGCCTAACCCAAGTGGCTTGGGATGATGAGGTACCTCCGCGCTCCTACTCCACTGAGGGAACGTGCGACCCACTTCGAAGCTTGGTTAGGCTGGATAGAACCACCTTAGCATCCGCTTGTACCCCCCTCTATCCACTTAGCAACACCCGCGGCGATCCAAGCAGGGATGGCCACATAGGCGGAGCCCCGCCGGGCGCACCGCAGCCTGCTGGCCTGCAGCCGCCGGCCGAGCCCCGGCAGGGCGAGGCGCCCCCGGGCGAGGCGCCGCCGCGGCCAGACGAGCTGCGGCCCGGCGTCGAGGCTCAGGTCGGGCCTGTCCCTCTATAGACAGGAGGAAAATGTTCCCAAATAGGCAAAGATAGTCTGGGGACCATATTTCGAATATTTGTTTTTGCATTTTTGGGGCGATATTTGTTCTGTCTTTTTGGGGACGTTTTTGGAGTAGTTTCTAGCTTTCGTCCGAAATCCCCAGACATGCGACGTCCTGATTTTTTCCCAGACGGGGCCCCCTGGAAGTCCCTACCCTTTCCCCGGGACCGGCTTTTCATCCTGAGTCGTTTCTTCACGCTCCCGAGGCCCGGCGAGGGCCCCACGAGGCCGAAGACGGTCAAACACTTCCCGTCCGGATTGTCTTCACGACGCGAGCATGTCTATTGGTCTGCCTGTAGGGGAGCATGCCCGACCCAAGTCGAGGCCGCGGCTGCCCCGGGCCCGGCGGCCCCCGCGCCCGAGGGCGAGCTGCCCGCCGCCCCCCTCGCGACGGCGGAGACCGCGGAGCGGCGAACGTAATATCCCCCCAGACCTGGAGGGTTTCGCCGAAGGGCTTTGGCGACCGTCTTCATCCCCCTCCTCCTCCTCCTCCTCCTCTTCCTCCTCCTCCTCCTCTTCCTCCTCCTCCTCCTCATCCCTCCATCTCCTCCCTCCATCTCCCCCTCCTCCACCTCCTCCTCCCCCTCCCCCTCCTCCACCTCCTCCTCCTCCTCCTCCTCCTCGGGTCGCCTACGGCCCCAGGGGAAACCGTGCACCCAGACCCCCTCGAGGAGTGAAACAAATTATGGCGGGAGGTTTGTTTGCCATTTTCGGCGGGGGTCTGGGCCGCAGCCGCGCCCTCGCAGTGCGGATTTCCCGGGGCGCGGCCCCGCGGATGCGGTCGAGGTTGGTCAGGAGGTCGTCTTTGCCAGATCAAGGGTGCCCCTGTGTCCTGTGCGTTCGCGGCCCCTGCCTCCACATTCCTGTGGCAATGTGGCCCCCGGAATGGTCTTCTGTCCTTTCGCGTAATTATCCTCCAATCAGGCCCCGACAGCACGCGATCGCAAGGATGCGTGCCGCACGGGGCATCGGCTGCAGAGACTCCTGCGTATCCGTGGGGTCGCGGCCAAGGGGCCCGGCCCGTGAGGCCGCGGGTGTGAAGACGTGTTCCGCCCACGAGGCGAACTCGCTCTACACGTCGGTCGGCATGGTCCCCGCGCCGGCGGAGTACGGTGAGGGCACGTTCATCGCCAGCTCGGCGCAGATCGAGAGGATCGTGGAGGTCAGGTTGCAGAAGGTGCAGGCAAGCCTCAACGCGCTCAAGAGATACACCAAGGCAGGGCCCTCGTCGATTCGGTCGACCCAAAATCCGATGTCGTCTTCGGCTGGGCCGACCCGGTTCGATTCCGATATGCCGACGATCCGATCCGGCCCGATGCTCACGTGGCGCTGCTGTGCATCCTGGCGCGGCCGATCCGATTCGTTTTCGACCCCATTCCGATGCAGCCCGATCCGACGTACATGCCGGCCCGATCTGATCTTCCGATTCGATGCTGACTGATGTTGCCAAGGAGCTGGAGACGGAGCTGAACGAGCGGGAGGAGGAACTGGACAAGGTGATCCACGACCTTCAGTCGGAGCAGGCGAGGCGCAAGAGCGTCGAGGACGAGCGCGACCTGCTGCAGCAGCAGCGCCAGATCCTGGAGGCAAAGATGGTCGAGGATATGCAGAGCCAGGCGGACGCCGAGACCGAGGTGGAGGAGATGGACCGCAAGGCCGAGGAGGTCGCAGAGGCGCTGGCGCG